GAGGGCAGAAGGGCAACGGGAGCCCGGGAGGAGCCTGCCCAGCGCCTCCCTGATCCGCCCCCGGGTGGCCATCCGGTCGGGAGGAGGAGCGGCGGCGGCGGCGGGAGGAGGCGGCCGGAGGCGCCGGAGGGTCTCCAGCCATGGGCGTGGCCGGCTCGCGAGCGGTGGTCCCCCAGGTGAGCGAAAGGCGCCCCCTCTCGTCCCTTCCCCTTTTCCTGGTGGGCCCGGACCCCCCCTCCCGTTTCGTTTCCCCCCCCCCCCGAGCTCAGGCGGCCGCGGAGCAACCCTCCTCCCCCTGCTGAGCCTCCCAAAAGCCCGAGAGGTGGGCCGGGGTCCCAACCCCCCCCCCCAAAGTCCCACTGGAGTCTGCACCCGCTCTCTTTTACCCCGCCGGGGATACTCTTCAGTGTGGGAGGGGGAACTGAGCGGGGGGGGCGGAGATGTCAAAGCCCTTTTCCCAGCCCCCTGGTCCGAGATACGGGCAGCTCAGCCCTCTGTGCATGCTCTGGGGCACGGCTGGCTTCTGCCTTCGTGCTCGGCAGTCGTGGCTCCTGCGAAGTAAGTGCGGGCCTTTAGACCGGGAACAAGCGAAAGGGGAGCCGATGCAGAGAGCCGGTCCGTCGCACCCACGCACTCCCACCCCCTGTGCGCTTGGTGCAAGGGTGCACGAGGAGCCCTCCCCCCCTTCCCTTTCCCTTCGTGTAAGCAGGCGGTAAAGCTGTGCATTTCCAGGAAAAAATGCAAAGCCCCCCCCTCCGGATTTCGGCAAAAGTGAAAGCAGCTGGAAGCGAAAGCGAAAGCGGGCGCCAGGCGCTCCCCGCCCTGCCTTTCACTGCAAGTCAAAGAATTGCTCACCACCAGCTGAAAACAGACGTGTAATGTTCATGGTTTTTGAGCGACCGTCAAAGTATTGTCCTCAGCCTGTCTTCTTTATTATGTTGCAAACCACTCAGAGTAGTGCTTTGCACTGATGGGGCAGTTACTCACACTTACTAGTTAATTCCTGAAATAAATGCAATACAACCAGCCAAGGACAGAAACTGCCATGGCGAAAGCCACATATTTAAACATAGCAGAGTCATCCAAACGGTGGGAGGGTGCACAAAAGCCCACCGGGAGCCGACGCAGGCAGGCCAGGGTCAGGGAAATGGGCTCAAAGCCCCACCACCACCACCAACCTGGCTATGGCATTTTTAAGCTGCTGCATCTTCCGGACCACTTTCAAAGGCAGCCCCAGGTAGAGAGAACTGCAGGAGTCAATCCACAAGATTGCCCTTCATGTGAACTAGAGCAGCCAGGGATTCCCTGTCCACAGAGAGCCACAACCCTGCAATTTTCCGGAGGTTTTTGTTTGCTTGTTTGTTTTAAGGACAGACGTAGCTGTTAGTGGAAAATTACTGAAGAGTTTGCCTCATTCATTTGGGAAGAGGGGGGGGGGAAGCTTTCTGCTTTGAGACTAGAAATTCCTAAGAAATTCCTAAGCTGATACGAAGGGGCCTTCTTCGGTAGAGAGGATGACACGGACAGGCACAGCTCCGTAAAAGTGAGCTTGCGCAGCAGAGATAAACGAAAGGTGTATTAAACCAATGAAGTAACGGATATGTGATGTATGTATGCCCTTTTTTAGAAGATTGTGAGCCATATCGGACTGCCCGAATGGACAGGGTATAAAATCTTTGTTCTCAGTGTGCTTATCAGAGAGACCACCGCCCTTGGCGAGCTCTCTCTCCGCTACTGCAGCAGCGCTAAAACAATAAAATAAAGAAACCTCCAAGTTAAATCCTTAAGTGCCTCTGCCCTTTTCTGTTGAGGGGGAATTCAGAAAGATGCTGTGAATTCCGGTTAACATAGCCATGGCAGAAACGTGTTTCGCCATAAAAGGGGCACCAGTCCAGAAGTGCCTCCAAGTGGCAAATCTGGTCTTTTATGAGTGGAGTGGGACCCCCTCCAGACCTGGCAAGAATCCACCTAATCCAGGTGTTCCCTCACTTGCTGTCCTTTCCGTATCCCTTGGCAGTTTGTTTCCCTAAATTGTACCCTTCATTTTAGCAAAATGTTTGCAATTCATCTTGTTGCTGCTATCTCAAATCTGGACATTGTAATGGTAGATAAATAACCCAATAATGGGACGAAAAAGCAATGGAATAATAAAGTGAACAGAGAGCGCATGTATACTAACATTCAGCTGTGCCGGCTTTCAGCCCCTAATCCCGATTTGATAATACACAAACTGCAAAAGATAATTGAAAACTTCCAATGACAAAGAGCAAAGCCAGAAAAACTCACCCATGGAACAGGTTGGGCTGTGGTGCCCACTTGTATATTTTGCTGGTGGACACAAATGTTTGCAAAGCAGAGGCGAGTGAAAGCTGAGCCTGTGAGGGGCGCTCCACCACGCAGGTAGTGGTGTGTCTAGAATACGGTGTTTAGGAAGAGACTCTCCATCATCCACCAAAATACTGCAACAAAGTGAGGGAACGCGGCTTTTCTCAAGATTTAATCAGGAAAGAAACCCACTCTGCCACTTGTTCAATTAATTTCACAATTTTTGACTTGCATTATTCATTCATTCATTCATTTCCATCCCACTTTTCTCCGAAAAAGAGACCCAAGGCTGCTTACATCATTAAAAAGACAATACTCCAAGGCTAAAGCAACCAATCTGCAAATACTAAAAGGAATTAATCCGAGATCATATTAAAAACAGGAAATAAAATGAATATTAAAACATTCAAAACAACAGAAGACAGCAATCCATTTAAAAATCCATCTCTCTCTCTCTCCACCAGTTATTAAGGAAAAGCTTGCCTGAAGAGAAAGGTTTTGGCATGCTTGCTAAAAGACATCAAAGAGGGGGTCAGCTTGACCTCCAGTGGGAGGAGGTTCCAAAGTCCCTGGGAGCAGCCACAGAGAAGGCCTGACCCTTCTGGAGCTAGTGGTCTGTCGGTGGGTGGGAGAACTTGGGCAGCTGCAGCAGGAGGTCCAGCCGAGGGCTAAGCCAAGAGCATCATCCTTCATGGCTCTCCTGGTTGCACAGGGAGCCATCATCCCTCCTGAGGTCAGCTCACCGCTCAGTCCTGGGAGAAAAGCCATCTTGGACCAGACCGGTCTGGGTGGGGCATGGCGGCCTTGGGAGAAAGAAGCCCATGTCCTGACTGGCTCTCGGGAGCCCTTCTACGGCACCTCTGTCGACCCCCAAGGCGTCTTGAGCCCTGGGGTAATCCCACTGGCCCCTTCCATTGATTTTGCTTCTCCCATTCCTCTCTGGTCTTGCCTCCTAAAAATAGCGGACATGCGATCCTGAGACCCAGGAGTTGCTGAAGGAAGAAGGTTGTGATGAAACCTGCTGCGGACGCTTTCTGCGCCGTATTCTAAGCTGCCTACGCTACGTACTGAACTGTCTCTGCTGTTTCATATGCTCTCTATGCTGTGGAAATGGAGCTGCTTCGAAGGGTGAGTAGACCCTCAGGATGAGGAGCAGGGGAGTGGGGAAAACCCAACAGGCCCACTACCCAAGCTGCCAGGGGGATTCTGGGAGTTGTAGTCCAGACAAGCAACTTTCCCATGTTCCGCCTGTTCCTTGCCAGGAGAGGTCACGCTGCCTTTACAGGAGGGGGGCCTGTTTTTCTTCCAGAGGGGCAGCCTGGACAGTCGGTGGGAACACAACCAAAGTAGGAGTCTCACGGCTCCTCAAAGGCTGCAGGCCCACTACCCAAGCTGCCAGGGGGGTTCTGGGAGTTGTAGTCCAGACAAGCAACTTTCCCATGTTCCGCCTGTTCCTTGCCAGGAGAGGTCACGCTGCCTTTACAGGAGGGGGGCCTGTTTTTCTTCCAGAGGGGCAGCCTGGACAGTCGGTGGGAACACAACCAAAGTAGGAGTCTCACGGCTCCTCAAAGGCTAACATTGGCCTGCAATCTTGTTGGCAGGTCCTTTGCCTGGCTGGGCTTTTTCCTGGCCTTCTCCAGCATCTCCTTGCCAAGGTGTCAGCCCCACCTGGCCACGACCACCATCCTGATGCCTCCAACTCCCCAACCTGTCCAGTTCCTTTCCTTCCTTTCCCTTTCCATTCCTTTCCTTTCACAGAGAAGCCTGGAATTTGCTTTTCCTGGGTCCTATCCCTCTTCAAGCACAGGGTGGGGTGGGTGGCTAGGACATTAGAGAACCACCTAGCAGACATCCTTTGATTTGTATCTCTGCACTGAGCAGGGGTTGGACTTGATGG